GAAGCAGATCTAACCTCATGGGTAGTCTACAAGACCTTAAACTGGCCGTAGATTTCACTATTGAATCCTCAGTGGATATGGTCAAAGCAGTGGCCAGGAACATGGCATTTTCCATCTCAGCCAGATGGGTTTTGTGGCTTAGATCCTGGTCAGCAGATGCTTCATCTAAGAAGACTGTATCAGCCTCTGCTCTTTACCATTCTATGGAGATACGCTCTTTGGTAAGAACCTGGATGATTGCATTAAGAAAGCGGAAGATGGAAAGAATGCTTTTCTACCCCAAGATCGTAGGCCTAAGAGAACCTTTCAGCCCAAAAGACCTTCAGATCAATCTTCCTTTCAGGACTTCAAATCTTACAGACTGGGTAGAGAATATGGAAGATCCCAGCCTTGGAGAGGGGGGCAGTCTTCAGTCAGGGGAGTAAGATCAAGAGGCTCTGCATTCAGCAGGAACACAAGAGCTTTATGAAGGGTTGATCTCCCAGTCTGGAGGGGTAGGAGCACGCCTCCTCCTATTCCGAAAAAGATGGGAGTCTTCTACCAAAGACAAGTGGGTGCTGGACATCATCAAAAGAGGATATCTTTTGGAATTCAGAAATGCCCCACCTCGTTGCAGTTTTCAACTTACAAGATGGCCAGGAGACAGAGACAAAAGATTGTCTCTTCTGGAGTTTATTTCTTCCCTGCAGCAAGAAGGCGTCATTATGGAAGTTCCAAAAGAGGAAAGAACACACAGGTTTTATTCTCAACTATTCCTCACAAGGAAGTCCTCAGGAGCATGGAGACCCATTCTAGATCTTCACACTCTCAACAAGCGATTGAACGTAAGAAGATTCAAAATGGAGTCTCTTCAGTCCATCATCAAAGTAGTCTTCCCAGGACAATGGCTGATGTCTGTAGATCTGCAAGATGCCTACTTCCATGTTCCGATCGCTCAACTGCATCAAAGATATCTGGCACTTCCAATTACGAGCCCTTCCTTTTGGCCTCAGTACAGCTCCTCGCACTTTCTCAAAGCTTGTGATGGTCCTGATCGCAGAATTAAGAAAGAGGGGCATTGCCATTTTTTATTATCTGGACGACATCCTGGTGCTATCAGAGGACAGGTACACTCTCAATCAACAGGGACAGATCTGCATTCAGTTCCTGCAGGAACACGGCTGGAAAATAAATGGGAAAAAGAGTCACCTTATTCCTTCACAGTCCATGCTTTATCTAGGAGCCCTGTTCAACAAGAGAAAGAGGAGTAAAGCTCATCAGGAAAGTAAAGGAGATACGACAAGTCAAGGTCACCACGGCAGAGAAAATCATGAGCCTACTAGGATCCATGTCATCAACCATAGGCTTGACAAGATAGGCGCAATGGAGAATGAGAACACTCCAGAGGAATTTCCTTTCCCAATACAGAGGGAAGAATCTACTCCAGCCCATCAGGATTCCTACCCCGGTCCATCTAAGTCTGACATGGTGGATGAACAAGAAGGCTTTGTTCTCGGGGTTCCCCTTCGGGAACATTCCCTGGATTACTATAACAACAGACGCCAGTCACTGGGATTGAGGAGCCTACCTGCAGAACGAGGTCACCCAGGGGCAGTGGGAGTTTCCTGCACACGAGACCCACTCAAACCTTTTGGAACTTCTGGTGGTTTTCAGCGTTTGCTACAGCACAAGTGGGTTAAGGTGAGAACGGACAATGCTACAGTAGTAGCACAGATCAATCATCAAGGAGGTACTCGAAGTCGGAGTATGGTAAGGTTGATGATTCCCCTGATGTCTTGGGCACAGAAGAACCTTGCGGGGCTAGTGGCAATTCACCTGCCTGGATTGCAGAATACGGTAGCAGTCTTCCTCAGCAGGGTAAGGATAGACCCAGGAGAGTAGAGCCTCTCAGACGAGGTCTTCAAGGATAGCGTGAAGAAATGGAGTCTTCCTCAGACATCATGGCCACCAACAACAACAAGAAGCTCCAGGGATTCTTCTCGAGGGGTCACGAAACACAGGCCTGGGAGAGGGATGTTCACAAAGGGGTACTGTTTCAGTAAAATCATTTCCTCCCACTCCCCTCATATTTCCTCTACTAAGAAGGATTCCGCAGGAACCAGTATTTATGATCCTGATTGCCCCATACTGGCCTCGCCGGCCTTGGTTCCCTCTTCTTCTGAGCCTCTGTCAGGAACCTCCGTGGGACCTTCCAGCTGTTCCTTCTCTTCTGCACCAGGGTCCTATCCTACACCCAGACCCAGCATCACTCAACCTGAAGGCCTGGAGGTTGAAAGGGAAAGGCTTCACTTCCTCTACCTACTACAGAATTTGGGACGCATTTTCTTCCTAGGCCTCTTCAAAGCAGATTAGCATACAACATCCTGCTATTAAAGACATCTTTGAGTTTCTACAAACAGGTCTGGATAAGGGTTTGAGCTACAACACCTTAAAGGTACATGTCTCCGCTCTCTCAGCTCTCACTGACCACAAATGGGCCTTTAATCCAGATGTATCCAGGTTTCTTTCTGAAGTCCTCAAGATTAAACCTCCGATCAAGCCATATGCTCCTCCATGGGATATACCACTAGCACTGCAAGCCATGAAGTCAGCTCCCTTTGAACCCTTGGAGTCCATCTCTCCTCATC